AATTCACAGAGAAGAAAATTCAACTATCTTTTGAACATACAAGAAGATCCTGAACTTTGTTCATGGTGAGAGAAATACAAATTAACTATTAAATTTTTATTAAATTTCTGAGATGACATTTGCATCCCTTTTTGGCAAAGATCAAAAAGATTGATAGCACAGTTTATAACAATGCCATAGGAGAATGAGCATCTTATGTGGCCACTGTTGGTGGCCATATAAATCCTGAAGGCTTTTAAAGGGCAGTTTGAGAATCACTATCCATGTCGGGGGATTGCTATCCATTAAGCACATGTTTCACTTCTGATTTCACACTCTCTCTTCATATTTAACTATTCTGTCAGGTATCCCAGATTTGAGATCTTCTCTTTCCATTTTTAAAGAAAATAAGCATCTAGTTGAGAATGGTAGGTAGGAGAATTCCCTGGCTGTACAAGAATTATTCAACAGTTGATCTTCATTTTTTTCAGCTCCAAGCACCATATAACAACAAATATTGGGGTCCCAGTGTTTGCTGGGAGCTACGCTAGGGGCTGGGGATTCAGCTATGAAAAGAAACAATTCTGCCCTTGTGCAGTTGACATTCTAGTGGAAGTAAACAAACCTAGTAAAATGTATAGTATGTCACGTTGTAAGTGCTGTACGTTTTTTTTTAAGCAGAAAAGAGTGATTGGATATACTTTTAAATAAAGTCATCAGGACCTTGTCATTCAGAAAGTGGCATTTGAGAATACTCGAGGTGAAGAAGTGAGCTGTGCAGCCTTGGGAAGAATATTCTAGGTAGAGGAAAGGGCAAGTACAAAAATCTCCAGCCTGGTGTATCCTTGGTTGGGGTTGTGAAGGAAATGGAGGCTAACAGATGATGAGATCTGAAGGCCAAATCATACAAGGCAGTTAATTTTCTTTTTCTTTTTTTTTTTTAATGAAATAAGGAAGCCAGCAGAAACTTTTGAACAGCGGAGTAATTTGATCTAACTTCCATTCTTTTCAAAGGAGCACTCTAGCTACTGAAATGAGAATAGACTGTAAGCGGGTGAGAGCACAGATCGGGGGACCTGAAAGGGACTGTTGTGATAATCAGGACAGGTGATGGTGAACTGAGGGGTAGTGGTAGAAGTGGTGAGAATAGTCAGGTTCTTGGTAAATCTTGACTCCATAGACTCCTGAGGTGAAATATCGTCCGTTAAGCTGACTGTTCCCAGCATCTGTCTCTAGCTCAGATTTCTGAGTGGTGGGCTTCCATGTCTGGCTTCCTACTTAGCATCTCTCCTTGGGTGTCTAATTGACCCG